GTTTGTTGGTGTTGTTTGAGGTGTGATGGTGGTGGTGGTGGTGGTGGTGGTGGAGGAGGAGGAGGAGGGTGGGCAAGAAGAGGAGGAGGAAGAGCAAGAGGGTGGGCAAGAAGAGGAGGTAGAGCGAGAGGATGGGCAAGAAGAGAGGGTGAGGCGAACGTCATAGGGTAGTTTTTATGATTTGGCGCATTTGATACCCATCGCCCCAAACTGCTAGCGGTTGAGAGGGCGTGAAGTTTGCTCAGCGGTCGACCCTCACAATGACTGCAACATCGACAGATAGACCCGCGTTGAAGGCGACCGCTCTTCTCGACACAATCATGGCCAACGTTGTGTACAGGGTGAATCCATCCCTTTCAAGCCAATGTATGTCACCGGTCGCCCCGGTGGTCTAGTTGGTATCCTCGACACCTTCTAGAGGTCAGATCAGGGGTTCGAATCCCGGCGTAAGCGAGCTTTTCTCGCAAAGTGAGTTTTTCTCTCGCTTCCGCTTCTGGCGTAGTGGAAAGCGCTAGTTCGTGTGTACACAGAGGGAAGAGAGTGCTGAACTCTGCTCGCACTAAAAATCGAAGGCAAAGTACCGCAGGGGGGGAGGGTAGAGAGGGGCTCTTCTGTGTGACCACGGGTTGGAGTAAACGGCACTAGTGCTGTGAGCGCTGATTTGAAGTGAAGACAAAAGAGAAACAGACAAAATGTCATGGCAAGGTCCCCCTCATTTGCTTGGATGCATTGGGGGTTGGTCTATCTAGGGAAAATCTGAGTATCCAAGCTTATATCATCTTTGCTGTTTCGGCACCTATAAGCGGGTGTTAGCAACCTTTGTCATGTTCAGATACTGCGGACGACTGGATGTTTGCTCGATGTTCATGAAGATTGAATCAATCCTCTGTGAAGCCCCAGACTCGTATTTTGGAGATGGTGCTTGCGGCATCAACGGGGACTCAGTCTGTGCAGTGTTCGGATGACTCGCTCCAGGCAAGGCCAGGCAAGCGCAAGCTCGGGAGTATGGCCAAGGCCCTCTGCCGGTACAGCGTCTGGACAGCAGCGGGCAGCCGGCAACCCAACCACACAGAGAGGTGAGATCAGGAATGCGAGATAAAAGTTATTCGAGAGTAGCTACCGCACGAGCTGCGTGAATCAACCTCGTGTGGATTACGAGATGCGGGAATCAACCGCGAGAAGTTGTGATCCTAGAGGGTTTCTCTTTTGGCTTTATTTTGAAAGTGGCAACAATCGTTATCCCGGGATCTTCTGCCCAATATCTGCGGCCCCGCTCGTTGGCACGGTCTCCCCACAGTGCCGATTGCACCATCGCGTTAACCGTCATGCACAGCCACATACTTCTAGAGGGTTCACAGGGGGGCACACCCGTCTAGCGTCGAGTCCACAGCAGTACCTACGGTCAGATCACATGGAAGCCGCGAATCTCTCCCAGGCGGCAACAAGCTGCCGACATCTCGGAACACGATGCAAAACACGCTCCATGGCATGTCGCAACACTTGCAGGTTCTTACCTGACAGCACACACACATTCACCGGAACGCAACCGAAGCCTGACTCTGCTGCACAAACCCAGTATGTACCTGTATCTGCTGTACAAACCCAGTATTCCCCTGTATGGGTTGCCGTCAGGGTTGGTTTGGGTATGCATGGTGGTGCTGGTACTCCTCGGTGTGTGTCACACACGCCGTCATGGGAGCCCGTGGGGTAGATGGCGCTCTAGCGTTTGCATTTCATCGAGAAGCTGAGGGGATTTTCGTCCCGCGAAAACTGACATTTTTAAAGCGGTGGCAAACATCGTTAAATCATTTCTCGATAGCCCCACCATGTCACCGTCCCTCTCTATTTAGCTTCGGTTGCTTCCTGTACATTACAGACGTTGTTCGTGGCAGCTGGGAGCTCTTCTCGATTGGGAATATCGCGGTCAACAAAAGATGACCTGTACCATCACGTACACGGGCAATTCTGTTCACACTTTTTTGAATTGAATGGAAATGAGGGGCGACTTTGCCCAATGTCCTGGCCCATGGCGTTATAACTCGATTAGATTTGTTCACATACGCATATGTATCATTTCGTCTGTTCGCCTTCGGTTTCCTCCGCTGGAACAGCGTTATATCTCGCACTTTCTTCTGCATGGCACGCAGAGGACCCGTCGGTTCAATACCCGTTACGTGTGGGGCTCGCGAGACACCGGTGGTGCGCGTTAGGGCCGCCTAAAGTCTATGGGACTGGCTCTTTTTTCAGGGGTTGGGAATTTGAACCATAAAAGCCTCCTCGAACGGGTGAAAACTGAAAACAGAACTTTTTTTGCCCCGCGCCCCGCGCCACGCGCCACGCGCCCACACAGCTGCTGCTTGCTGCAATTGTTGTGGACACACCCATCACACAGCTGCTGTGTGTGATTGTTTTACACACCCACCACACAGCAACTGGCGCATGTGTACCCGCAGCGGGGACCAAGACTCTCGATGCTGCTCTTGGGAACACACCACTTGACACAGAAGTCCTCTCGCACAACTCTGGCAGCGGTAATTAAATTTTCAATTCCGAAAAATCGAAAAATTCAAAAATGGCAGTTGTGGTACGGTAGCACATCTGTGACTGTTCTTGCGTACGTTGAGCTTCTCTTCGATCCGTTGTTGGTGTTTGCGTGAAAACGCCCCACAGACCATGGGAAGCAGGATCACACTAGAAGAGTGAGTGATCAAACGCAGCGGATTACAGCAGTAGGACCTACCTGCAGCAAATACGCCGCTAGCCTAAAAGCACACACTCGCGCACAAGCAAAAGGTCACGGCGGGAGAAAACAAAATACCACGCACATGATGCAATATCCAGGCAAATTGGTATGCAGGTTGCGCGCAAACCGGCACTACCGAATGTCGTGCCGACCAACCATGCGACAGCGATGGCAGTGATTGGCCATGTCCTCTTGCGTCGCCCCCGGGAGGCAAATCACCTATTAATAACTCCCGCAGGGGAACCTTGTAAACTCATATCGTTCTATCCCCTCCCCGGTGTTTTGTATCCTCACGCCTGGCGATAACTCGTGTTTGATTGTCAGCCCCGCAAGAGCGTCATCCAAGCGCCAACGGAAGACCTCCGCACCAGAAACAACGGGCGGTGGGACGGCGGCAATACACACGACGGTGAGTTAGGTGGAAGGCTCATTCCTCTAGCGTTTTTTCGCGAATAAGTCATATGATTACGCGGTTGGCCAGTGCATGCTTTGCTCGTGCAGGTTTGCCGCGTCACTCGCTCCTGCTTGCCGAACAGCTGGTGGTTGTTCGTCGTTGGTGGTGGTGCCGGTTCGGGATGATTTCTGCCGGGCACCCTATCAGTAGCTCAAAGCTGGCGGAATCGAACGCCGGCGAAAGTTCTATCTAGTCTTCAGACACCACGATGCTGAGAGGAAATCGTCATTTGCAACTCTGGCGAGTCTACACTCGTGTTTATATATTGAATCTGTTTCCGACTGTCCGTTTTTGGTCTTTGAGTGTGATAAACGGCAAGGGGAATACACTCGAACTTTGTAAAGCGCTGTTTCACTGCTGGGAGCCGAGAGGCCACATAGGGGTGTTCTGAGTGGAGCTGAATATAGGAGGCAAGGTCTCCCAAACTCTTACGACCGTCTTTCCAATACATGGTGCGCGGCGGAAACCTTCGGTGACTGTAGAAATCAAAAGGTCGGGGGTATTGCGGGAGGAGGACGCGCTAGAAGCACCGATGGCGCAGCACACTGAGCGTAGCTGACGACGAAGACATTCAGTTAAAGGCTGTGTCGATAGCGTTCTCGCGTGAGAGGCAACCAACTAGTTACAGTGCGAAACTGTCTTCCATAAGGTGACAAAGTGAAGAGCATGGACGTGTCGAAAAGCACAGGGCACATGGTGTTTGGTTCTGGAACATCGACGGCTGCTCCTACCCCGGGACAAGGACGGGATGGCCCCTGAACAATCTACAATAGGGGGTAGGAGATCCTTGAGCGGTGGTGTGCGTAGTGTACTCATTGAATTGTCTTTCGCTGCTCCCCGATGTTGCTCGCATCGTTGCTGAGATATTGACCTATGGTAAACTCTGGAATATGGGTTCTGCTCGATCGCGTTTGGAACCGTGCTTTTCAACAGTCAAGGCGTACGACAGCCAGGTATCATGACCAGGGACAACGATACTGCCAGGAGCACGGCTGTACAGCACAGCCATCGTACGGCCAAGCCCACAACAATAATGCACAGTTCTGCTCTCAGCACTCTAAGCCAGGGATGACGAAACTCACGAAGAAGAGGTGCGGCCATGCAGGGTGCATCAAGCAGCCTTCATATGGCAAAGACGGCAGCAAGAAGCGAGAGTTCTGCTCTCAGCACGCTCAACCGGGTATGGTTGACGTCGTCAGCAAGAGGTGCTGCCATCCAGGGTGCATGACTCAACCGTCGTATGGTAATGTCGGTAGCAAGCCGGACTTCTGCGCTCAACACGCGCAGCAGGGCATGGTCCGTGTTGGTGGTAGAAGATGCGACCATCCAAGGTGCATGAAGCAGCCTTCTCATGGTAGAGCCGGCAGCAAGATAGCGGATTTCTGCTCTCAACACGCGCAACAGGACATGGTCTCTGTTCGTGGTAGAAGATGCGGCCATCCAGGGTGCACCACGCAGCCTTCATATGGTAAGGCCGGGAGCAAGACGCGGGAGTTTTGCGCTCAGCACGCGCAACAGGGTATGGTCCCTGGTCGTGGTCGAAGATGCGGAAGTGCAGGGTGCATCAAGCAGCCTTCATATGGCAAAGACGGCAGCAAGAATGCGCAGTTCTGCTTTCAGCACTCTCAACAGGGCATGGTCAATGTCGTGAAGAAGAGGTGCGGTCATCCAGGGTGCATGACTCGGCCGTCGTATGGCAGAGTCGGGAGCAAGAAGGCGGAATTCTGTGCCCAGCATGCGCCCATCCAGGTTGCATAAAGCAGGCAGCCTATGGACACGACAGCAGCAAGAAGCTGGGGTTCTTTCCCAAAAACACCATCGAAAACAACCCCCCCCCAAAAAACAAAAGCCACAGTTCACACGAAAAAAAAAACGGCGCGGAGCCAAGAGGCAGCAGCGACAGATTCGAAACGCCCTTGCAGACACAGTGAGAAGACACCTGACTCTCATGCCGCACCCTCAGGTCTCAGCACGCGCGGCAGGGCATGGTCAATGTGCGGCGTGCGTATACTAGAAACTATTACCGCATGTGTGTGTTGGATATTTGCATCGCATGGCACATTCGATAACCATAGGTACACAGCGATACGTACAATATCGCTCTCACCAGTAGTGCAGGCGTGTATTCTGTGCTTGAGTACATTTGGTAGGATAACTCTGTTCGGTTAGACTAACCGTTTATTGTTTTGTCGATTTCTAGAACAAGTTTTATTCTGGTGAACGTTGATTTTGTTCTTGACATACGTATTGTTCAGCAGCTGTCATTGTCAGTGTCACAGCTTCCTGAGTCGTATTACGCTCTCGTAATACGTTGCTAGAATTAATTATTGCTGGCGAGTAGTTGATGCATAGCATATGATGATTGGTCCACCTTACGTTGAGTAAGTTTTGTATACGCACGACATGACGTTAGTCGGATCTTTACTCAAGCTTGGGTCTTGTTGTCTGATTGGTTGACACTTTGGGATATGAGTTGAAGCGTGTTTCCGTCGGTATGCTTGGCTTGGATGGTGCAGCCCCAATGCAGCCCCCATCCTCTCACTCTGTTTTTCTTGCAGTCTCTCGGACTAATAAACTGCATTTCTTCAACATCTTTTTCCACCTGGGAAGTCTTCGTGTCCTCGTACAAGAGTCCGCCGGCTCAACTCTCTCACGGAGGTTGATTGCCACGAGCAGTGTAAGCCGTGTCGCAACGCACCACGTGCGAATACGCTGTGCTCAGAGTTACGCTTGTGACCGACTGTAAGATCACATCAGGTACTATGCTTACGTACATCGGACGTCACTCGAATTGGGGTATCTCTTGTCCATCGCACGAGCTGCAGACAGAGATTTGAATATTCCTCTTTCCACACTTGACAAACCCGTGCCGAAGGTCATCTAGGTACGCCGTTTTCGTCAGCTTCAAGCCTCACACCACACACACCTCCATTCCCGAGAGCGCGCTGTTTGGTGAGGGGTCCACTACGGGTGACCCCTCCACGTACGCGCTAGATACAATGACTTACGTTGGCAGAGGGATTTTTCGCGAACGTTGCCATATTTTGAACGGCCTGCCAGGCTTTCCCAATATTGTCTTTCACGCGCCTTGCGCATAAGTGCATGTGACATGACGATGTATTTCGCCCTTGGTTTCGCCTGCTTGAGAACATGAAGCGATCAGTCCCATTCCGATGGGCCTATCGGGAAGAATGTGATGCAAATGAAAGTGCACACTTTTGACGATTGGGACATGTCACTCAAGGGTATGCACGAAAGTTACTTCAATGCCTGCCTTTGCATGAACCTCTGGACTCTACTGCTTGTTGCCCGAGCGCCTTGCCAAATCAACTTCTTCTGATTGTAGACCCGCAGTTTGTGGATTACAGTTGTGAGAGCTCTGTTGCGGCGCTCCACGTGTGAATACTTGTTGGCTAGGTGAACAGGTTCGTACGATCACCGTTGGCGGCCCACAGGAAAGTTGCGGTATTTGCTTGCCAAGTGACCACGAGAGGTGTCTAAAACGGTTGTTGGACGGTGAAACCCAGTAGTGCTGACCGAAATATTTGTGTAGGCCAATTCAGCGTGGGGCAGGCGAAGCGTCATATCGCCTTGTCGTTTGTTGACAACCACGGAAAAAGTTTGGTGTAAGTTTGTGGTTCAAGCGTTCACCACCAACATAATAACCGTTGGGATGGTGTCGGTGCCCGTCCTCTTATACGCACGCGAACCAGCTTGATGATGAGCACGGAGAGGTTGAATCAAAATTGTAGATGCGTTTGATGAAACCCGAACATAGGAGGAATGATTGCATTGGGGATCTTGACCAGGATACCTCCCCAGTGCCTTTGAAAACCTAATATCTTTGCGTACAGGACGCGGCACACATGTCGGCCCGAAGGCTAAGAAACGGTCGATGAAGAGCAGAATGTAGGCGGTGGTGCAAAGTGTAGATATAAGAGGCAAAAAAATCGATGCGGATCGCCACGCCTGGTTCGGTTGGTAAAATACCATGGGTGCAAACCGGAACAAATGATGGAACCTCAGATTGTATCGAAATATGTGGGTTTTTAGTGGCAGGAAAAATAGAGGAGGAGGAACGTTTTGCCAACACAGCTCTGTCATGTGCGACGCTTCTATCTCTTCATCGAATCACCCCACACCCAATCCCTTTGCACCCGAGCCAGATCCATGAGTGCAGATGACAGCGCCGGAGGTTTGACCTCGGTACGCCTGCTACAGAGTGAGATACGTGCACGGGTGTAATCGGCTTCGGGTTGATGCACTTTCTTGTCAGTTGGACAGCAATGGAACAATTTTGTTTATTATCCGCTTGATATGAGCGCGTCGGCAACGGCCTCTATTTTGCACCCCAGGTAGGCGCCCATCGCTAGTATCCACCCATCGTGTTGAAGCAATACAGCTGGGGGAGGGACGCTCCTTTTACAACTAACTGCGTCATGGTCACTTTTCGCCACACCTTGGCATTTTCTGTGGACCAAGTGGCCGTTGTGCCTTTATCAACTTCAAGCAGAAGAGAGGAACAACTCGCCGCTTTTTCAACATTCAACATATTCTCCCCATAAATCGCGATACTGCAAATCTTGGTGGAGATATATTGTGAGCAAATCTTGGGTCACAATGCCAAGATATAATTGCAAGATTCTGTTTCCATAAAGAAGGGTCTCAGGACTGACATACATTGTGTCCATGGGAAAATGTCCAAGACAGGAGAAAAAACGTGCACCCAAGGAGATTCGGACCAGTATCCTGCTGACGCCATGTGCGAAGGTGTACCGATTCTGGTAAGTGTCAAACGACGGATACTCTGCGAATCGGGTCCTCCTTAACAATTGTGCGTAATTTGCGTAACGCTTTCTCTGTTTGCGTGCCCCCTCACATGTTGGTTGGGGTTGTTTCGCTCCTTGCTGACACCAGCGTGTCGACACCCCAGTGTGTGGCAGCACACAGCAGTCAGTGTGTGAGCACACAGCAGTGTGTGAGCACACAGCAGTGTGGGAGCACACAGCACACACAGCTGTACATTGGTGTGCAATGTTGTTTGTTGTCTGGTGGCGGAGGCGCTGGGGTTGCTGCCATCATCGCGACAAGCTTCCATCCAGACCCACGCCTGTATACAGCAGTAGTAGTACTACCGCTGTGTTGCAGCGAGAGTGTGACATTTCTGACTTGATTTAACTATCGGATGTGATCACATGCTTTCACTTGTTAAATGTGTTGGTCTCGATCACACGTTTCACTTGAATACAGTATGGATCTCGATCATTTTTTCGACTTGATTAAAGTATGGATTTTTGTCCGTTTTTTAACTCGATTAAAGTATCGAAATTTCGGATAGGATTTCTTTATTGCTTTTTTCGGGATTGCGCGGGCTGAAATCCCAATTTGCAATTAGGGAATCTTGCGATCTCCCGGCGAAAAGTATCGTTTCGATCCGAAACGTCTCTCTTTTCTCTTTCCGATTTCACCGCATGTGTGCATGTACGTGCAACGGTCCCGGACCCCTTCGCGCCATAGATGCAGCTCGCCTCCTACGCAAAGCTAGACAAAGCGTTGAACAACAGAAGGTGAGATGTAAGCCTGAGGCTCAAAACCCGTAGGGAGTGCAGACGCGAGGTGCACGAGAACAAGAACGGCACTGGGTGTGATGCAAGTTGCCTGCTGCTTCAACTCAGCCTCTCTCGGCCGGATTGCTGGACCCTTAAATACAAGAGTATCAGGTATGTTCCTGATGGACTCTCATCAAGGTTGTTCTCTGTCTGACGGCCAGCCAGCTATGTACGATGTGTCGATAAACGCGTTGGCTGTGCCTCCACCTACCGTCGAGTGAGTTGTTGGCAGTCACGGTCGAGTTTTTACATGAAACGGACGAGGATGGTGCACGACTGTCCAAGTCTTTCAGGAATCGCAAAGTCAGGCACCAGCGCCCAACAGCAACAGGCTGCCTGTACTTCGAGCCGGAGAAGATCGCCGCCACAAGCTAGTACGTGACCGTTTCGTTTGACCAACGAAACGTGTTGCTCGGTTCGACCAACTCGTTCACCATGAAGATCCAGCCGTGCTGTATGCCCGTCAATACAAACAGCATCCACACAACATCACAACTCTTCTTCACACAGCGACTCCACACCAGAGCCGAAAGAGGGAATCACTACTTCGAGCCCCAAGGTGAGGCGGGCTGTACACTTAGCGAAGATTCCATCCGAAACGCCTCGAATCAGGGGGACGAACAGCCGTGCGAGCCACGAACCCCCCCTTCAATTTCGCCAAAGGGTGTTCGGAGATAACCTTTGCGTACTTTAGCTAACTGTTCCGCCGATAGTAATTACCTCTCGTTGCTTTCTCTAACACCCTTCTAACTTATCCGGTCTCTCCCATCTCATGCAAGGTTGTCTTATTGGGCAGGGTGGGCAAACATCGAACCTCACTAAACGTAACAGAAGAGCGATAGCTCACGTTTTCCACAGAGCCCGGACACGCAGCGTAATTTGCGATTCACAAAAACAGAACGCCTACTGATGTGTATCTTACGCAGGCTCATCGGCCAGTCGGTGCCGATCATCGGTTGGGCGAACTTCCCACCGAACTCGATTTCTTGCAACGCATCGGGCCACGAAGCTTGGACGATGTGTTGGTTGAACCGTTCCCCGAACTTGAGAGATCGAAGGGAGGCCGGCCACTTGACAAGGACGATGCGCTGGTCGAATCTTTCCCCGAATGCCAGCTCTCGCAAGGCATCCGGCCACGAAACACGGGCGATGGGGTGATTGAAGAACTTTCCAAAGGTAAGCTTCTGGAGGGAGGGTGGCCATGACACGTGGTCAATGGGTTGGTTGAAATGCGTCCCGAATGCGAGCTCTCGAAGGGAACTCGGCCATGACGCTTGGGCGATGGGTTGGTCGAAATGTGCCCCGAATGTGAGCTCTCGAATGGATGCCGGCCACGCAACGTGGGTGATGGGATGGTTGAACCTGCCTTCACAACCTCCAAACGCCAGCTCTTCCAGGGAGGCTGGCCACGTAGCTTGGGCGATGGGACGGTTGAACCTTTGGCCCAGATCCAGCTTTCGTAGCGAAGAAGGCCAAATCACTTCTTCTACGGTATCGTGGAATCCTTCGCCCAGGGAGAGCTCCTGCAATGAGGATGGCCACGATACTTGGGCGATTGGTTGGTTGAAAGTGTTCCCGAGGACGAGTTTCCGCAGCGACGGCCAGGAAGACACCACACCGGCAAGAGGCTCGTTGAAGCCAG